ATTGAAAGCAGCCGAATTAAAGCGACAATGTATGTGCAAATTTCACTTATTCAGTTTGTTATTAGATCAAACTTCTGGTTCTGAATAAGGAAGACAGTCAACGTTTATAAAGCTTTTAATAAGGAAATTCATCATATCAGAGCAAACGGCGGAATAAAGGCGCATCTATCGAACTCAATGAGCATTTTTCAGCACATAATTCGACATCCTGTTTTATTCAGCATTGTACACTGGTTTACAGCATTTATTCAATGTGTATGCTTATTTGTGACTTTGAATTGTTTGTTGGGACGTGACCAGAGATTTTTATGCCTCAGAAAAATTCCACCGACCTCGGCTTTGATTGAACTCAGACCCATTGGGGTGAGAAAGCAGTCACGCTTACCACTACACCACCGGCGTCGGCTTAATACAGAGCTAACTCTGAGTCAAAGTGATAATAAAATAGTTGCAAGTTTGCCCCAAAGCATTATTTTCAAATTTTGGAACAATAATTATTCAAACTAAAACATACTTAAATCATTTAAAAAAGCAAAGGGTTTTGCTGGCTTAAACAATAAATTAATTGAAAATAAACTACAAGCAAAGAAAATATTCCTGAAAATCATGGTCAATTTGGTTTACGGTAGTTCAAATAATACTGATATATAAACAACAGTGATACATCATTAATGATAGCAAGATTTGAGATGTTTTCATTGTTCTTAAACTTACTGATTTGTTACATGTTCTCAACATCAGTTGGGTTAGCTTTGACATAAAGTTAGCCCAACAAACAATTGAGAGCTCTTATAAAACACCTGAGTTGATCAAACGTTGAATAATAGCTTCCAGAGTTGAACAAGAATGTAGTTGTATTGCCATTTGATTAAAAGTTTTAAAAGCTGTTGGAGCACTCTTAAATGATTGTTTACGTTCGGTTTAACTATATGCTTTATAAGACCTACGATAACTTTTATAGCACCTTAGTTAAACTGATTGACAAGAGCTATATAGAACGTGAAATAAACGCATCAAAACAAACCATTGTGAGCTCTTATACATCACCTGAGTTGATCAAACGTTGAATAATAGCTTCCAGAGTTGTACAAGAATGTAGTTGTATTGCCTTTTTGGTTAAACGCTTCAAAAGATGCTTGGAGCACTCTTAAATGATTGTTTACGTTCGGTTTACCTATATGCTTTATAAGACCTACGAAAACTTTTATAGCACCTTAGTTAAACCGATTGACAAGAGCTATATAGAACGTGAAATAAACGCATCAAAACAAACCATTGGGAGCTCTTATACAACACCTGAGTTGATCAAACGTTGAATAATAGCTTCCAGAGTTGTACAAGAATGTAGTTGTATTACCATTTGGTTAAAAGCTTCAAAAACTGCTTGGAGCACTCTTAAATGATTGTTTACGTTCGGTTAAACTGTTTGACAGGAGCCATATAGGATGTGGAATAAACGCATCAAAACCAACAATTGGGAGCTCTTATAAAACACCTGAGTTGATCAAACGTTGAATAATAGCTTCCAGAGTTGTACAAGAATGTAGTTGTATTGCCATTTGGTTAAAAGCTTCAAAAACTGCTTGGAGCACTCTTAAATGATTGTTTACGTTTGGTTAAACTGTTTGACAGGAGCCATATAGGATGTGGAATAGACGCATCAAAACAAACCATTGGGAGCTCTTATACAACACCTGAGTTGATCAAACGTTGAATAATAGCTTCCAGAGTTGTACAAGAATGTAGTTGTATTACCATTTGGTTAAAAGCTTCAAAAACTGCTTGGAGCACTCTTAAATGATTGTTTACGTTTGGTTAAACTGTTTGACAGGAGCCATATAGGATGTGGAATAAACGCATCAAAACAAACCATTGGGAGCTCTTATACATCACCTGAGTTGATCAAACGTTGAATAATAGCTTCCAGAGTTGTACAAGAATGGTCAAAAGCTTCAAAAACTGCTTGGAGCACTCTTAAATGATTGTTTACGTTCGACCAACCACAATTTTGTTGCTTAACATAGCACAAGTGATAGGCATGTTTATATAATCATAAGGCAATGATTATTCGACTGCAAGAGAAGTTACTCAAAATGAGCTTGATATACTTCTCTCATATGATCAAAATATGTATTCAAGAATAGAGCAGATGGAAACAGAAGCGGCTGGCAATCCGGGATCATGAGTTCGAATCTTGCTTCGAGAAACCCTCGGTGGAGTAGAGGTAAATTATATATAGGTGTTATTAATAAATGCAAACATTAATTTAAGACATATATCATATAATCAACGATAACATTTCTAGATAAATTCTCTCAATTAATGATTAGAGAGATTAATTGAAAGAATATCAATCAAAGATTAAACAGATGCTTGTTACTACTTCCTCCATGTGATATGTGATGAACTAGCCTACGGCTAAAAATCACAAAAATAAAGAAAAAAAAAAAAAAAAAAAAAACTTCCTCCATGATCACAGAATGTGAATTATGGCATAATTACATATTTTTTCAATGTGCACAAATAAATTAAATTAATAAAAACTGTACAAGCAATTATTTTGGCGTACCACGACAATTGTTAAACTAATTTTAATCTGTGAATATTGTGAGTACTTACACAACGGTTATTAAGGAGTCATTAAAAAGTGCTATAAACGCTTTTCACCGCTTGCTGTATAGTGATTATTTAGGAGTCATAAAAGAGTGTAACAAACGCCTCTCAGGTTCAATCTCTAATACATTTCGAAGCAGCTGTTAGGAGGTGTCTACAAACGTTGTATTAGAGCTTTCACCAAAACAATAAAGCTTGACTTTAAATATGTATCTATAAACGTTGTATAAAAGTTGCTTCTATCCGGTTGTTAAGGAGTCATTGAAAAGTGCTATAAACGCTTTTCACCGCTTGCTGTACAATGATTATTTAGAAGTCATAAAAGAGTGCAACAAACGCCTCTCAGGTTTACTCTCTACTAAATTTCAAAGCAGCTGTCAAGAAGTGTCTACAAACGTTGTATAAGAGCTTTCACCAAAATAATAAAGCTTGACAGTTTGAGTTTAATATGTATCTATAACCGTTGTATAAAAGTTGCTTCTACTCCTATACCGCGTATACATATAATGCTGTAGTTGAACAGGTTCTCCAAACCAGTGTAAACAAGAGTTTTACAGAAGTTGTAATAAACAAATTGTACAGTTATTATTCAGCATGCAGTTGAATAAAATCACAATGGAAGCGTTTCTTCAACAAGAAATTGATTTTGAATAAACGTTTTACTGAATACGTTAGACAACACCTTTGTGTTGCAGTTGTATAGGTTCTCCAAACCAGTGTAAACAAGGGTTTTATAAAAGTTGTGGTTAACACATTGTGCAATTATTATTCAACATGCAGCTGAACAAAATCAAAACGAAAGCGTTTCTTCAACTGGAAATTGTTACTTGGGAGGTTAACTGTCATAATACCAAACCTGCAAAATGCGTATCGATGTTGTGACACAGCACGCCTGTCCCGTTACCGTGAAGCGAACTTGATCGTCGTTGCAGATTTAAATTGCAATAATGCATTTCAATGAAATACTGCATTTCCAGATTTCAACTCCAATATAAACGTTTAAAGTGTAAGCATCTTAATTATCTGTACTGGTAATCATAAATATGTTGCTATTAAGGCTCTGAACCATTTGGTGATTTTTTTTTAACTCTTGGTTAAAATTTGACAGATGGAAAGTTATCGATTAACCCTGCTATCCGAGCATGGTTATTTCTGACAGACAAGAAGTTAAATTTTGATGACCGTGGCTCGAAAACCGGTCGATTGACAGCACGGGATTTTCGAACATAAGAAATAACTTTCGAAATGTCATTTTTAACCACGAGTTAAATTTAACTCGGCAAATGGTTCACAGCCTAATAATGGAAAACTGAATGACACTGGAACAATTCTGAAGATGCCAACTGGATGCTCTGTAAATCATAATACAAAATAAAAAGAAAATCGTTATAATTGTTCCTAAAAATAAGCATAAAGATATGGCGCCATTAAAATCGATTCTGCAATCGTCGTGATAGCACGCCAGTTCCTTCGCGATTTTTGCAACATCACTTAAAGTTTCCGCGATTTTCGAGACTGCAAATTCAAATCCGCGACAAATTCGCGAAAATCACGAGATCCGTGAAATTCGCGCCTGGATTTCTTAGTGTGTACAGTTTACATTATGTACATTGGTATTATTATGTGGCAAGTACAATCATACTCTTTGCAACTTTAAAAACTTCTAGACCGGACCGGGAGTCGAATCCAGCCGCCTCCAGCATGGTCTTGCTTTTTAATTTAATTTAATCGTGGCGATTAAGGTGATTCTCCTTTTAGAGTTCACAAATGGCTTCCACTTCGAATTTTCAATTACACATATCTCTGAAATTGATGCTTCATTTCACCTGGAATTGCTACTTCATGTATGCTGCAGTACAGCAAACGCGGAGTAGCAGTTTCATTGTAGTACGTTTCGTAGAAGCTGATAATTGTGTGCACTTAAAGTTTCGAAGTGGTTACGAGAATGAGGATCTCAAAGCGAAACACGGTGATCATGAAACCCAGCTGCAGTAACGCCTAAAATTAGACTTTCGAAATACAATCATCACATTCAGCATTGAACGCACTCCATTATCTGTCCTCCCCGTGTCTGGCCAGAAGCGGAAAAACAGATGTTTGTCTCGAATGTGTGCGTGAGATAACGCATCGAACACAAACGACGGACAGAATCTGTCAGTCAGCATGAGGTGTGTTGTAGGAGGTCTAACAGATATATCAGCTATCTCTTTTATGCCTATTGCGGTTCAGAATGCGTACGTTATGACGTCATAATGTTCATAAACGGATGTGATATAGGAGTAGAAGAGAGAGCTAACACTTCTACTACACCTTATGAACTACTTTCGGTAGCATATAGCCGCAATGTATGCTACAAATACTATTCTATGCTTCACTTGCATATAAGTTTTTGGCTAAAGTGGACGGTTTCATCTCATTCCCGTAGTAACAAAAATTCCGATTCGTTCTGTTGTAACCCGTTGAAGGCTCCTACAATCATTATCAAAATCTTATCATTGTGTTCGATTTCATCAAAATCCGCGAGTGCACTAAATTTGTTTGATATTATCTTTATTCTACTCTGTATTCTTGACACCGGGTGAGTAGTTCCTGAACATAGCAGCATCTTTACGATCTTTATGCGGTGCCTACATCATCTTTACGTCCACACAACTGTACTTCACATATTTCTGATATAAATTTATAAGTTTATAATGCAGGATATTTTACAACGAAACATAAAAGTGGTCCATCCCACTCACAGAGAGACATACACTTTCTAAACATGCCTAGAGGTTTAATACATAAGTAGGTATAGGACCTGTTTGACTTCTTCTCTTCTGCATCTTTTCTTATGCTGCAGTTGCCTAACCCTGATCGAATCCCGCTTGATGCTTAGTCTGTATGATAGACTGTTAATTCATTGATTAAACGTTGAAAGGTACCTTCGCAAAGCATTTAATTTATTCAGATAAAAAAACTGCGACCTTCAGTTACACATTCCGCAGAAGCTAGCCAATCTTTTAAAATCAAAATCAATGGGAGCTTCTTATTAACAACCATTTACCTGCACTGTTTGCAATGCTTTTTTATAATCTTCAGCGTTGGTTAAAGCAATAGAAAAATCGTTTTGATGTTATCAAAATGCTAACTCCTGCTAATTGAATCTATTTTCTAGACCATATCACCACCGCCTCCAAGATCAACATGATGCGTGATATCGACGTAATCACATCGTTGAAGAAGGATTCCATGTCGGTGCTACCATCTATCCAATCAAAATCGGTTGACTACAGGTGAGTGATTCGCGATGTAAATATTTAAAGCTCTTCCCAAATTACAACATCGTTATTGTGATATGGCCAGTTCACCTTGAGCCGAAGCTGGTCGGCATTGACTTTTAATCATCAAGCAACGTGTTATCTTTGCAGGAAAAAGAACATGAAGGGAGTGCCGGAACGCTTCCTCTTTGAATGTGCCATCAAATTAGGCATGAAGCCACTCACTTCGGCGACAGCAGCAATTCTCTTCCATCGATTTTTCCGAGAAACTGATGATACGGAATATGATCCCTACGTAAGCAAATTTGTTCCTTTTGAGTGTATCTACGTTTATACGTTGAATATGACGCAGTATCGTAAAATATGTAGCTTTAGTTTACAGTGTTTATCGAATCGGAACCGATTCGATTGACGAGATGCAGGAGGAATAGTGTTTATAAATAGCTAAGCTAATTTTTTTCCCAAGAAACTGAAACAGTTCAAAATTCAGAATTCAGCATATTCCCACATTAGGTTGTGCTGAGAAATGACAGGTTGATTAACGAGATAACCTTAGTTGTCATAACAAATACTAACCCGACCGACCCTTTCTCTTGCAACAGTGTTCGATCATATAATCTCGGAGAAATTTACTATTTCCAATCATTGCTGATAGTAAAAGTGCACCTAGTTGGTTAAATCCAGTTTTTAAACGTTTTGGCCGTCCAGTAACAGTAGTAGATAGTAATTAGTATCAGCGATCGTTAGTTAAAATTAACAAAATATTTCGCGATTTTTTTTAAGCGTTAGCCCTCGTGCCCTAATACCACCATCAGGCTTAGGTAGTGAACCGAGGACTTCACGCGATAAAGTTCGTAACGGTTCATCGCAATTAATATTTTATTCGTGAATCCGATGTTTATTCAACTCATAAACGTTCAAGCACTAACCTGGCGAAAAAAATAGAACTATTTACACGAACCATGCCTCATAAAACCGTAGTGACGCGCATCGGGTCACGAAAAACACGGTTGACGAAACCACGCGGTTCGCCAAGGTTTTTCAAAACACGGGGTAGGTAACATGTTCTAATTTCTTCGTCACGGTGATTCTTGAACATTTATCAGTCGAATAAGCATCGGATTCATGGAAAAATCACACAGTTAACTGAACCGCGATAAAAACTGTACGGTGCTTCATCTGTTCACTAGGTCTGGACACCATTTTTTCTTTGATTTTAAAACAAGTTACATTTGGTTTAGCAATTTGAGATCACACGATCAAAAGAGGCGAAAAACAATCGCGTTAAAAACACTTTTCTAAAGAACGTATGGTACAACGTAGAACTAGTAGATTTCTAAGCTATGTGAAGCACGATAGGCTAAAAGTATTTAGACAAGAACGATTAGATCTGTTACCTTGAGCAGAAGCACAGCAGGTTATAGGGAGTTTTAGCGCTCCAGAGCCCATCTGTGAAATGTCGAGTATACATGGTATTCGGTTCCTTAGTGCAAATATTTTAAAGGGTGATAGAAGATCATATTTGATGAAATAAAATTTTCTCGCATATGATCAAATCTCAAAGATTACTGAGCTATTGAAAAACATTTTTGTTTGGTCTATGCTTGCCATATATTGGCTCTAACTCGAAACACATGTTTCTTATCACAACATTATCTCCTCCATTGGACAACTTAGAAAATCTCCTACTTAATAATGTTCTTTCTTCTTCAAGTAAGCTGTAATTAGTAACATGTTAGAGATAAACATGTCTAAAATTGGTTTGCGTGTTTTCCCTTATCATTCCAAAAGATTTATTGCGTATTGTTTTGTCTAACACTGTCTCGTTTAGTTTTGTTGCAATTTGGTTCTAAACACATCATGTCGGGTCGTAAATTAACTGTTGCATAAAACACGAATTCAACCCCACCGTGTGTTACTGGTGACGTCTGTACAACACCTGACGTCTACATAGCGCACACAGCACGATCGCAGCAGCATTGTTGTTCATGTCAAACTTATCCTATTTTGTTAGAGCTTGATATTTCTATATAGAGCTGGAATAAGGGCCTAACAGCTTTTGTAAACACTGACTTCTATCGATGATTTCTAGAAATTCAAGACTCGCCCACGCAAACCAACATCCTCAACAGGTAGATAAAGATTTCCCTACCCGATGGTTATGTTGGTCTGCGTGGGCGTGCCTTGAGTTCCTAGAAATCATCGATAGAAATCATTGTTTACAAAAGCTGTTACGCCTTAATTCCAGCTCTATCTAGATTTGTGCTCTTGAAATTTCAAGGGTATAATGAGACGTATCAGAAATAAGGTGTCCACATTGATTCACCTTAATTGAGCGGAAATTGGTACACTAGGGGGCTATATTTTGAAAAAAAAAGTGAATTTCTGATAAGCCACCCTCTAGTTCGTATCATTGCTCTAAAATATGAAACTGTAGAAAAAATGGTAAAGATTGACGAAGGTTTAGAGGTCGCGCAAATGATTTTAAATTTGTATGGGAATTACCATGGAGATTACCGAAAATCACTTATAGGGTTTTTGATCTAATTTCCGTCCTACTAAGCACAACCCGCGCTTTACCTCTCCCACCCACGTATGGATTTGATAAAGAGTCACAAATTGTTGAGAAATTGTTTAAAATCTAATACTGCTTCTTGATTCTAAATTCGTTCTACGAGTTTCAATTCCGTCCTAACGCATTGAAACGCCATTTTCTTCGTCCTACGGATAAACGAAGAAAAAGGGAATTTGCTAGGAGCGCTTCTTTTGTTTTGAGAACAATGAGCGTAAATATTCATACAATGCGCTCTAACAGGATTTATAGTGTAGCTAATGAACTAACGTATCGGAACAAACCTATTATTGATTTGTGAACGGTTAAATCATTGATATTATTGAAGTTTTCTGATCGATAGAACGGAAATGGGCGATTACGATAAAGTAGTGCTCTACCCTATCGCTCTAACTTTTTTCAAATATTGAAAAAATCGTAACATGTTGTTGCTATGGCAATGATCAAACAGTCTTATACAGATTGTAGCAAATTTTCAGCTACAACTTTGTACTACAAATGTAAGGAACAAAAGTTATAAATGATTCAAGTCACTGATGTCTTATGATTATGCTCATTCAACTGTTCAGCAGGCAACATTGGTGTTTCTGGTGCGAAGAATAGGGCACAAAAATCATGGCTACTATGTCACACTGCAGAACCCTCAGAACAGCTGCTTGATCATGCCATAAGATTATCAATCTCTTATGTCGTTTTCGTTTTTGCGGTGTAGCTACACCGGTGCTACACTGCCGAACACCGAAAAAAATTAGGGTGTAGCTATCGGTTGCACCTTTGTTTACAAACAAATGATGATGAACTGTCAATGACTCGCACTTATTGCTGCTTACACTACACCGGTGTAGTGTAGTAAAAACGAAAACGACATTAAACAATTAATAAGAATTTAATTTTACATTTGGCTGAAAAACAATATTCCGCAAAGTTGTAGCTTTGAAATTTCCCGTAAGAATAGTTATAGAAATTTTTAAAAAAGCAATATGGAAAATGGGTAGAAGACAATGAACAAAAAGTTTGGTTTTTCCTAGGGGCATCCCACTCTAAACTTTGTATTTCTCGCGTTCTAAAGGGTGATACGGTCAAAATTTGGTCAAGGGAGAACGCGTGTAAATCGGTGAAATCGTTTATTTAAAAAATCAAATTAAATTTCTTTTTCAAGTTCAATTAGTATAAAATTCAGGAAAAATATTCAGTTAGGCTTCCGCTTTTCCAAATCCGAATTGCCGGGCCTTACGCTTGACCCCTGCCATCAGATTTTGTACAGCCACCTTGTCCACCTTCTTCGCCGCTGAAAGCCAGTTTGCCTTGAACTGCTGCTCGCCCTTAGCAGTTTTTTTGGTCTTCTTTAGGTTCCGCTTGACAATACCCCAGTATTTCTCAATTGGGCGGAGCTCTGGCGTGTTGGGAGGGTTCTTGTCCTTGGGAACCACCTGCACGTTGTTGGCGGCGTACCACTCCATGGCCTTTTTACCGTAATGGCAAGATGCCAAATCCGGCCAAAACAGTACGGAACAACCGTGTTTCTTCAGGAAAGGCAGCAGACGTTTATTCAAACACTCTTTCACGTAAATTTCTTGGTTGACAGTCCCGGAAGCTATGCAAATGCTGCTTTTCAAGCCACAGGTACAGATGGCTTACCAAACCAGATATTTCTTTGCGAACTTTGACAGTTTCATGTGCTTGAAAACATCTGCTACCTTTCCCCTTCCTTTTGCCGTATAAAACTCCTGTCCCGGAAGCTGCTTGTAGTCGGCTTTGACGTAGGTTTCGTCGTCCATTACCACGCAGTCAAACTTCGTCAGCATCGTCGTGTACAGCCTCCGGGATCGCGCTTTGGCCGTCGTATTTTGTTTATCATCGCGATTTGGAGTCACTACCTTCTTGTAAGTCGATAGTCCGGCTCGTTTTTTGGCTCGATGCACGGTTGTAGACGATACACCCAGCTTATTTGCGGCATCTCGGAGAGAGAGGTTAGGGTTTCGCTTGAAACTACCGGCAACTCTCTTTGTCGTCTCAGCGGCTTCCGGTTTTCGATTTCCCCCCGATCCAGACTTCCTGGCTGTCGACAAACGTTCCCCAAACACTTTAATTACATTTGTAACGGTTGATTTGGCAACTTTTAGCGATTTTGCCAACTTTGCGTGCGAGTAGCTCGGATTTTCGCGATGCGCGAGCAAAATTTTGATACGCTGCTCTTCTTGCTTGGACGGCATTTTGACAACTGAAGAGTGAATTCCAAAATCAAAATAGGAGCAACATTCTACACACACAGACCTTCAAAATGAGGGGGTTTTTTAAATGCAAAATTGAAAGAAATACGTCAAGTTGATATTGACCAAATTTTGACCGTATCACCCTTTACACAGAAAGTCCTTACTGATATCTAAGATACCTGGAAATACTTAAAAATACTTAAGAAATATGTTGCGTTAGTTTATTCCCACCTAAGTTACCACCGTTGCTATACAAATCTAATTTGTTTGTTTATCTAATATCGTCTAGCATTTTTCAGCGAATATTTTTAATGTACCCATCCTTTGCAAGAAATTCAATCATTATAATGTCTTACATGAAGTGACGGAATGTTATCCCGATTATGGCTTCTATTTAGAGAAAAAATTGAATGATGCCACGCTGCAAGCACTCAACCATTTCACATTATGGTCTAACTCTGTCTAGCTGATAGTCGTGGGAATCTTCCATACGTTCCTCGTTGATTTGAATTCCATTATTGTGTGATTGATGAAAATTAGGCTACTGACAGTGTGACACTAACTGAAGTTATTTAGGCTGATCGGAGCTGAATTAGAAGTTGTGGATGCTTTCCACACCATTCGCACCTTACTTTAGCATCCCTAGAATCACATATCATAGCTTCCCACTGAATGTGTTTATCTAAAAGTGGAGAATAATTTCTAGTATTTGGAACCTTCGACGCTCTTATTCTAAATCTAAACCATCGATTTTCAACCTGGAGTTCGCGAACCCCCACTGAATGAAAAGCACATTAAAGGAATTAGGCGATGTAGACCGAGCTGATCGGTATGGCAACGTTGAGAATCGATGTTCTAAACGATTATTAAGTCTGGATAACATCGAAACGGCATATTCCCTTTTTGATAATGTGGGAATGGTTTAATTACTGCTTCTATAAGCCCTAGGTTTTCAAATCGTGTACCGCGTATATATGACATCAGTGAGCATGCTCCACGGTCTGAAAATACTGTTGTAATCTTTCAAAAACGGTTGTGGTATGTTAAAATATTAATATGGACTGTGTTGGAATTAATTTATACAAATTAGCTTTGGATTTATATTTGCAAAACACAAACAAGCTAATGAAGTGATCTTTTTATTGTGAGAATTGCATAAATAATTATTTCACAATATTAAAATGTGTATTCCCTTTTGACAAACTTGGCAGACCTTTTCTTCATAGAGCCATCTGGTTGCCTCGATAGAACATAAAGGTAACAAAGCGAGTGTTTTGCAATCCTCAATCATCATCCGAAACCTAAAAGCACGAAATCTATGTAGAGTTTTAAAATATTCATTGACTCTTAGGAGGATAGTAGGATCTTAACTTTCTCGCCAGTACGGCGTAATCCAGCAATGTATGCTCCTCAAATAGTGGCACTATGGGGAGGTCCACCATCTCAACAAATAGTTCCTGCTGCAGCAACTATAAATGGTACGCTTCACTACCCGAGCAGGAGAAAATAACTAATGAATACCAAATTCAGGTATGATAATAGCATACCTTGCAACCTGAATGGTATTGACGAGCCTGACATAAGAGGTAAAATACCAAAAATAATACCTCAAAAAAGTTCTACGAATAACGAACTAATAAATAATGTAGTTATTTTAATAACATACGCTTTTTTATGCCAGAATACCATAATTTGGTCTTCTAATACCAATCCAAGAAGTCTGTTAGGTCTTTTGGTCTAAAATTTGTAATATGTCGATAACTGAATAATATCAAAGCAAGGCTTTATACCACAAGCATACCAACATAAAGTATCATACCACATTAAGATACTCGTATGTTATCGGTTAGTTATCGGTTCCTGCTCGGGTATCGTGGCTCACTAGTAAATGAGCAGCATAGCTTCGGTTTATTTGAGCTGCTTGAGCATTGTCAAGAACTTATACAATTCTCAGGCAAAATTATGTGAAGGAAACTCTGGGTCGAAGATCTTGGTGATTTGATTGGACAGGTCAGAATAATGCCAGTTTGAAGTCCTTTAATTCCTTTGTAATCTAAATGTTTGGTAGCGCATGGGACAGTCAGTTAGAATAAATCAGTAATTCGAATCCGATGAATGAAAACAGTCCAATGAATATTCTTCCTGGTTAGCTGAAATATTGTTTACTTTGTTACACTATTTCATAAATCAAATTAAAATACTTACCCATTAATTAACATGATTACACATATAATTTAAATTAAAAGGGGGTAAAATTAGTATCAATTGCACTAAATTTGAGACGAAAAGTCATAAATCGTCCAAGTTCAAACAACAAACAACTATACTAGCAACCGGTCACTACGATGAAAACTATCTACGATTGAAAATACTTAAAAATACTTAAGAATACTTATGACAGATTTAAACATATTTAATTGATATTAGAACTAAAGTTTAGAGTGGGTTTTTCCATAGTAATTTCCATACAAACTTCGAATAGTTTGTGCCAAGTCAGTTTCTTACCAAATGAGTTTAAATTTTGGGAGGCTAATCAGGACCTGATTTGAAACCGTTTGAGCACTGTGGAGCGAAAATTTCAAATTTTGCATCAGTCTACTGGAGATGAAACACCTTTCGACAGATTAATGCCTTCTGTTTTTAAAGTTCATGTTTTCTGAAACCCACTTAAAAGTACCTACCATACTTATTCAAAATCTTCTACCTTGCAGATGATTGCATCTTCTTGTCTGTACCTCGCCGGCAAGATCAAGGACGATCCAGTGAAAATTCGCGACGTTATCAACGTTGCTCACAGTACCATCAACCGATCAGCTCAGCCCCTCGAGCTGGGTGACGAGTACTGGTCCATGCGGGACTCCATTGTTCAGGCCGAACTGTTCATTACCCGCATTCTCAAATTCGATCTGACAACGGTTCATCCGCACAAGTACATGCTGCACTATATGAAATCTCTTCAGGATTGGTTCGGCGTCAAGGAATGGAACTCGCTGCCGGTAGCCAAAACGGCTGCATCCTTTCTGCAAGACTTCCACCACAGCGCAAAGATTCTGGACCATAAGCCCGACCATATCGCCGTGTGCTGTTTGGCGTTGGCATTCCAAGCTTACGGGGTCCAAGTGCCGCTTACCGATGAAATTGATGAAGTGAACGCCTGGTATAATGTATGCTCTGTCTATTTGCCGCACACGTACAATATCCATTACATTTTGAATTCTATTTTATAGGTTTTCTGCAAAGATCTTACACGCGACAAACACTGGGAAATTATTGAAGACATCGTTGAAATTTACAACACAGAAGCGGAGATTGATGAGGACGAGGACTGACGAAACGGTTGCTAGAAATTCGTTTGAATTGCAAGAGGCTCTATGGTTGGATACTACACCGACAACATCCCATCAATTTTCCTCATTACGAATTTCTATTATTTTTTTTCGTCTCACTCCATTCATTTATTGTACCTACTATAATTTTCAATATTTTCGAATATTGAAGTACAATCAAGTAAGAGTATTATGACACATCTTCTTCATCCATCGCGTACCTACATCTCCGTCTAACCGATCGAGCTCTCTGTGCTTCTCCTGAACTACCGAATAATCTCCCCTCATATTGACGTTTTGTCGGAAACTCTTCCCGGAAACTTAAAAACAAGGCAAATTTTCGTTAATTTGTAAGTGATAGGTCGGTGATGATGTTTGGTTGCAGCTTGGGGTTCAAGTGGAATGAGTCAAGTTACATACCAGTGACCCAAACATCTAGAGTTAAGATTCGTTCTAGATTTACTACACAAGCCATAATCATTTGTAGCGCTTATGTTCTCGTAAATTCATTTTCATTCATCTTTTTAACTAAGATTGTTGGAAGAGTAGCATTTGTAGAAGCATCTAAATAAAATTGAAAATAAAGCATCTTGGCTATATTGAAATAGTTTTTGTTTTTTAGTAAATGAATTGAACGTTTCTACAATGGGGGGGGGGGGGAGGTTCCAATGAAAAATGGAAAACTTTACCAGCATAAGCTCCCATCGATGATCCATATTACCCTGTTTCATAAAATAGGTGCCCACAACAAGAAGTCGTACAACAATGTACAGACAGTATCGTAAATTGCTACAATTTAAGCCAACATCGCATATAAAGATTACATACATCGCATTATGTTTAAGTTATGTCGTTTATATACGATTTCCAATTTATATGCGATGAATCATCGAACGACTTTTCAAATTGAATTTGTTATTACAGCGATGCCACTCGCTTACTCGAACTATTTTCGGATGCCGCTACGGAAAACAGTCAACAGGACTCTGTCATGAATTTGAAAATCTAATTTTTGATCGTTTGCCTCTTGGTGGAAGTCTGATATTCTTGTGTCAAAAGGACGATCAAGGGCCATCCTCAGCATTCTATTCTGAGCGACCTGGATTTTGTTCCTGTAAGTCTATGCACATGATTCCGACACCGAAGCTGCGTAGAGGACCGCAGGTGCTATGACTTGTTTGTAGACAGCCAGTTTGTTTACCCATGAGAGGCGGGATCTGCGGCAAATCAGCGGATAATGACACCTAATCAAGACAGAACACTTGACTACTTTTATGTCGCGAGACCGTCGCACTAAGGTGGCACTTATCCCGTCATCAGGGGCAGGAAATAAAACGCGCACGTAACTATAAATACTAATTTATTACGGCACTACTAAAAACAGTCACGCGACACAAAACAATCTAAAAACATTCTAACTTGCTTGACAACATAATGCTATTGTTTTGCTCTTTCTGTTGCTTCACACGAGTGGCAGCTATGTTGATGCCGTCGGTGAGGCCTGCGATAAAGATAGGGCAACTGGCAGTGTTGCCAAATCCATTTTCGTTGTCTGCAACATCTCCCCTCTTAATAGAGCTGGTAGGGGTCAAACCATCGAGGCTGCCTTCGAAGACGGGAAGAGCGCCGAGGTAGAACTTCTACCGGTTCGGTTTCAGCTGCTAACTCGAACTCAGTTGATGTTGCTGTCGTAGAAGACATTGACGACATCGATGTACTCGTGGTCGCTGGTGAACTACATCTCGGTGACGGCGGCAATGATTGAGGCGTCATCGGATTCGTAGTTGATGCTGAGCTAGAGGCTTGCGATGATGATGATTGGACGAGCTCGTCCGGTGCAAGCGACGACGGTGACTGAGGTAGATTCCAGGCAGACATCAGGACGTTCAACGGAAATGAACTGTGTGAGCTCACGGCTTGTCTGACTGGTAACTTGGCATTCGAACTCGTGGAATTTCGACTACGCAACTGGTTGACGTGCGAGCGCAGCATCCGAGCATCGGTCCACACGTTATACATTACGTTACCGATTCGCTCGAGAACTATGCCAGGTACCCATTTCCAGGTGTTTTTGGTGTAGACCTTGGCGTAGACAGCATCGTCGCGGTTGAACGATCGTCGCTTTTGTTCTTTCTGCTCTTCTGGAACTGCCATGGGCGCGGGAGGCGGGCGTAACAACTCAAGGCTGGTTCGGATTTTACGGCCGAACATAGCCTCTGACGGCGTCTTGTTTTCTGGTACAGAGTGATTTGGCGTGCTCCTGTACGTGAGGAGAAACGTATCGATTGCTTCATCCATTGTTCCTCTTCCCTCTCGGATCTTCTTGACGGCCCTTTTGAATGTATCCACGAAACGCTCTGCTTGTCCGTTTGATTGTGGATGGAACGGGGCTGTCGTGAGGTGCTCGATGCCGTTCGTAACACAGAATTTGCCAAACTCTGCACTGGTGAATTGTGTTCCGTTGTCCGAGACCAGTGTAACCGGCATCCCCAGTCGAGCGAAGAGTCCACGCAAGATGGCAATTGTGGATATCGATGTAATGCTGCGCGTTTTGACAATCTCAGGCCATTTGGAGTAAGAATCAACGACGATTAAGAAGTAGTCACCATCGATTGGTCCGGCGTAATCGATGTGAACGCGTTGCCATGGGCCAACTGTTTTCGGCCACGGCATCGGTGTAGCATGAGGAGGAGACTTCGCAACGGACGCACACTGCGCACAGGCCTTGACGTAACCAACGATGTCTTCGTCGAGTGACGGCCAGTACACGTAGCTCCTGGCAATCGCTTTCATCCGCTGCATACCCGGATGGCCTCGATGAAGCTGGTCCAAGCATCGTTTTTGGTGTTTCGATGGAATGACGAGTCGTTCGGCAAAACAGAATGCACCCATCCACTACGGTGAAGGATTCCAGTCTGGCGTGGAATCGTTTGATCTCCGGTTCGACTTGCTTAGATTGCGGCCAGCCGTTTTGGATGTACCGGTAGACCTTGCGTAGAAGTGGATCGGCCTGGGTGCTTTGCGCGACGACTCTGAAATTAAGGGGAAGAACATTAAGTGAATCCGCGGCTACTGACCTGACATCTTCCTCCAGTGTAACGCTAGCGATGATATAATCCTCTTCTGGCTTCGCATGTTGGCTTATTAGTCGGGACAGTAGGTCGGCATGGCCGAACTTCTCAGTCGGAACGTACTCGATGTCAAAGTCGTACAGAAGTAACGTGAGGGCAAAACGTTGCAACCGGTTAGCCGTATACACCGGGATACCTTTCTTGGAGCCGAAGATTCGAACCAATGGAGCGTGGTCAGTTTGAAGGCGGAAGCGCCGACCAAAGATCATTTTGTGAAACTTCGTAACTGCGAAGATGATAGCTAGACCTTCTCTATCAGGCTGACTATAGTTCTGCTCCGCCTTGGTGAGTGCTCTCGAGGCGTGCTGCACCACCTTGATGGAGCCATCGGAGAATTTATGGCTGATTGTGGCCCCGAGACCGACTGATGAAGCATCGGCGGACACGATGATCTCCTTCTTCGGATCGAAGTGTGTAAGCAGTAGGTCCGAAGTAAGAATCTGCTTGAATCGGTCGAACGCCTGTTGACACTGCGTATTCCAATCAAACTTCGATTCTGTTTTGAGGAGGTTATCAAGGGGATAGCGGAGCGCTCGCATATTAGACACGAACTTTCCATAATAGTTAATCGCGCCAAGGAAGGAGCGTACGCCAGATACGTCGGAAGGAGGAGGAAGCTTGCTAATCGCTTCAACTTTTGCTGGATCCGGTCGAAGTCCGCTAGCGTCGATGATGTGTCCAAGATAACGAATTTGTCGCTTTCCAAATGAACACTTCTCAGCTCTGATCGTAAATCCGAAGTCTTGAATTCGCTGAAGAACGGCTCGGAGATTGCGGTCGTGCTCTTGCTGGTTTTCACCGCCCACAACAACGTCATCAAGATAACCGGATGTTCCTGGTAGATCAGCTAGCATCGTGTCGATGAGTTGCTGGAAAACTCCAGGAGCAATTTTCACACCCGGCGGAAGGCGGTTGTAGAGGTAGAGTCCACGGTGCGTGTTGATAGTAAGTAGACTCCGAAATTTTTCATCGACCGGCACCTGCAGGAAAGCGTCCGAAAAATCAATCTGACTGAACACTTGGCAGTTCGCTAGCTTGGCAAATATATCTTCCGGTAGAGGCAACGGGTACTGGTTCGATTGAAGAGCGGAGTTCAAGCCTGTCGAGTAATCTCCGCAGATCCTAATTGCCCCATTCGCCTTGCGCACGACAACTATAGGAGCAGCCCATTCCGAGTAATCGATTGGCGAAATGATCTTCAGCTTCTCCAATCTATCCAACTCCTGGTTAACGGCATCGTACATTGCATATGCAACGGGCCGTTTGGGACAAAACACGGGTTTACAGCTTGTTTTCAGTTCGAACTTAACGGCCGTTTTGATGCACAACCCGAGCTTACAACTGAACACCTTCGGGAAGGTTGACTTGAGAGTCGACAAGGATGCTGGAGAGGCAGAAATATTGCAGCAAAAATTGTCCATCGGTACTGACCAGAGATCGAAGCTGTCCACGAAGTCGGATCCGAGAAGCTGCAGTGGTTTCTCCGTCACTCGAATCACACCATTTCGTGTTGTTTCACCGATGGTAACGTTGCACACGAACTCGCCTTCAAGCAGCAAGGTATTACCAGAAGCGGTCTTCGCCTTGACCGTCGATGGAACCAGCTCCGGACTTCCGATCTTCTCCCAAATTTGCTTGCTGATGACCGTGATGTCCGAAGCGGTATCGAGTTGCAGCTGAATCGACGTCCCGCATATACTTACGGGCACGAACCTCCGTCGTTGCTGCACGCTGCATACGTCGACGATTACCACCTTGCTATCCACCGAATGCTTCTTCCTTCTCCTCATCGTAGGCTGGCGTGCTTTGTTCGCACTACCACAATAGCCTTCTCGATGTCCAAATTGACCACATTCGGAACACTTGTGCTGCTTGTAGCCGCAGTTGCGAACATAATGTAGTCCGCCACAAAACCAACACGGTGAATCTGGTTTGCATTCACTATCGCTCAATGCCTGGTTTGGGGACTCAAAGTCACGCTTTTTAAATTGCCTGTTGCTATACTTGATCGCGTTCACTTGTTCGAATGGAACCGGCGCTTCGATCATAGCGTTATCGTGCTTGAGGTTGAAAAGACGCTGGCACTCATTTGACAGGTGCTCTAGTGTGACGTCATTTACCTCCTCGATCTTTGAGAGGAGCCGCATCCTAATTTCGGCATCACTCTCCGATTTCAACCCGCACACGTATATCAAGCACTTAAATTGCTCCTCCGACAACTTACCGAGCTCGAACTCCACACAAGCTTTGTTGACTCGGCAGGCGTACGCAATATGGTCTTCGGTCGGATACCGGGAAATCTGCAAACATCTGTATCGCCGACTGATCACCGACTCCTTTGCACCGAACAAATTTTTCATCTTCTCGACCGTCTGGGAGAAGGAAAAATCTTTGGGAAGCTTGGGAAGAATGAAACTCACGTACCTTTCGTGTTCAATCGGTCCCAGCTTCCGAAGCAGCAGTCGCACTTTCGCTTGATCGTCTAATCGAGCTGCGTCCTTCTCGAATAGCTCATCGTATCGAGTGTACCAAGCAGCAAAAGTTATGTTGCTATCCGGTTCGTAGCGAAAATCCTTGATGTTATTCGCCAATGAGTCAAGAATCTGCTCCGGATTGTATGCAACTTGTCGTTCTCGGGACTTTGCCAACGTACGGATGAGCTCCTGATGACGCGCTTCACGGCGTGTCTCGTTTGCTTCGTTTTGCTGGGTCACTTGAATCACTTGAGTCATCATTTGTTGCATCAAAAACATCATCTGACCAAGGTCCGGCTGACTCATTTGTTGCTGCTGAGGAGGAGGAAGAGCATATTGTTGCTGTCCGGGTGCTGCTGGAACGGACTGTTGCTGATGGACCGGGGCTCCCTGCTGTAAATTCAACTGCTGCTGTTGTTGCTGCTGCTGTTGATTCTGAAACCGCTGCTGCTGGTCGACATCGCGTGAAATTTGTCCGTTATTTTCCATTACACTAGCACTATGTCTTCTTTTCCTCCGTTTACGCGCGGGAGGCGAAATGTTGGGTTATCTTCGGGAACTTCACACGCGAAAAAAACTCAACAAATCGCTCACAACTCGTCGCCACTTTTATGTCGCGAGACCGTCGCACTAAGGTGGCACTTATCCCGTCATCAGGGGCAGGAAATAAAACGCGCACGTAACTATAAATACTAATTTATTACGGCACTACTAAAAACAGTCACGCGACACAAAACAATCTAAAAACATTCTAACTTGCTTGACAACATAATGCTATTGTTTTGCTCTTTCTGTTGCTTCACACGAGTGGCAGCTATGTTGATGCCGTCGGTGAGGCCTGCGATAAAGATAGGGCAACTGGCAGTGTTGCCAAATCCATTTTCGTTGTCTGCAACAACTACGGTTTTCTCTACATGCGAACGGAAAGGGTGCTTTTCATCGAACAACATCCCGAGATAGGTTACTTCGGCAGACCACTCAACCATTGTGCCATCCATGATTACAGTACAAGAAGGAGCCGGTTTTAGTTTGGGTGATTGTCGATGGAGGAACATAATTGTTTGAGTTTTAGAGGCATTGATTTTGATTTTCCACGTGTTTGCATACACTGAACCAAAACATCATCCTGGCATCGAATGATTATTGTCTCACTCAAGCCCTATAACTATTATCAGATGATTTTGAGAGGATCGCCATTCGATTTATCATCTGTTGGAATATGAACAAATCAAATGATAATAATCCATATAATGAATGATTTTAGATCGATTTGCGAAAACCAAAGCAGACATACATCAAACAAAAAATCATAGGATAATCCTCGGGATAGTCGTATTATTTTCAAACTAATTATTAAATTGACATTATATGATCGATTTTCGGATGAAAATCAGGTGCACAACATCAAGTCATTTACAATTTATTTATGATTATATTATTTACAAGTTGTGGTCCTTGAGAGACAAATGATGATGGCAAAGTAGAGCCAACTCAAGGGCAAAGAAGGTGTTATACAGCAGATCGATGTTGGCTTCGTAGACCCCCCAGGAGTTGTCAACGATGTCATTCACTTATAAAAATTCAAAGATTGTTTTTTTTGTCCCAATCATGAATTTTTGCAATGTGATCAAGAAATGATATCTATGTGTCGTACATATACTTAATATGTGTACTCATAAAAGCCATGTGTAACCACACATACTATTCATTTGACTCATAAATTTCATGTGTGCTTCTGGGTGGATTCTGCTTATGTGTGGTCACATAAAAATCATGTGGAATGTTACATGGAAATTCGCCAATGAAAATGTGTGGAACTCTATTAGTGTACAGGAGCGATTGCTCTGGCTCTTGGGAAACGTATCCGTAGGTTGCTATGGGGCCTGGAAAATAATGGAAAAACTTCAATAGTCTCATCGTGCATGTGCATCTGGCAGGAAACTTATCTTCTGGCCTCGTTAGTAGAATTGGCCGACCACGACGTTCTGGATGATCCAGTACCGCTGACCGTTCCGAATGCTGACATTCTTGAACATTAAATGCATGTGGGTTAGCAAAATGATACGTATACTTACATCTGAGCATTTCAATTCTCTTAAGACCTTTGAAAATATATAACAACTTTACACTCAAGTTTTCACATAACCTGTGTTGACATTTTTTTTTTGGTTATAAAAGATTTTATAGTTGAAATCAAATGATTTTAGTTATGGGACTATCTCAAATGATATTCCATTCGTTTCCATACTGAATGTTTTTTCATTACATCTAACCTATTTATTGCTAACGAAATACATACAAAAACATGTCAATATTAATTTACCAATCAAAAGAGCATCAGATGTTTCCGAATAGAAAATCATCCGACTGATTTTGTCAGAAGCATTGAAATTGGATGCAACTGAATGATGTTTCATTCTATAAATGGAGGGTGATTTGGTTCAGTGTAATCAGCAAAGGCGTCAAGGCGCTTGTTTGTTATTTCCCGAGGCATCGTTCCTTGCATGTGGTGTCATCTGTGAACAGAAAAAATATGCAACCGTCTCCGAGGGGAGGAAGTGTAGATTCTTTTATGCAAAGGGCCCAACAGACTTCCTTGCGTAACATCTGCTGGGATGGAAAACGTGTCTCAAAGACAACCATTCAACGATACCTCAAACGACCTTTGCGGGAGGTAGTTACGGGTTATTTTAACCAGATATAATGGGAAGTTGAAGTTACAAAGCTTGTACACAAGTCCAGCATGCCAGACATTGTCAAACACCTTTTCAACGTCTAGCAAGACCATGGCTGACTTGCTGACTTGGAAACAGATTTGTTACTTCGGATGTTATTCATCAGCCGTACTAGCTGGTGATTGGAGGAGTGCCCCTTTCTGAATCCAAACTGTTCCGGAAGGAGAATGTTATTTTCCTCGACAAACTTGAGCAAACGATTGTGAATGAGTTTCTCGAACAATTTGCTCAGCGCAGGCTGATTGGTCTGTAGCTTGAAGGCAATGTTGGATCTTTGCCGGGCTTGCGGATTGGTATGATCTTTGCTACCTTCAAGATGCTTGGAAAGAAGTGCAGCTCAAAGCATCTGCTGTAGATAGAGGTCAAAAGTGAATACACTTTCATGCTGAGCCTCTTTAAGATTAAATTGAATATGCCGTCAAGCCGGGCAGCCTTCAAGTTCTTGTTCAACCATAATTGTATCCTCCGGTGGTACGTACAAGGGGAGGTATCTAAATTGTGGACGCATTGCGCAACTTAATCTTCGAGCGGACTTTCGATGTGCGAGCCAAGCAAATGCGATGTAACGACATGCTCGCCGATCGTATTGGCGTTGACGAGAGCTCTGTAACTCTTTACTCCTTGGAGAAATCTCATAAGTAACTGTCAGGCTATGTGTGAAACATGGCGGACTTTTTCTTATTTTCTCACTCCAATGCAAAACCCCATAAGGAACTGTCAAAATGTGTGTGAAGAAACGTCACTTCGGGACTGGTGTCAAGGCGAATTGGCTTTCTCCTTTCATCATCGCCATCATTTCCGACTCTGAGAGGTGGAACGGGTTTGGGATGAGTTTTCATGACCTTATCTACCTTCCAAAATGGTCTGGAGCGGTCGTCCAGATTCCGGACAATACGCCCGAAGCTTTCATTTTGGCAGGCTTGGAGCAGGTGCCACGTTGATGCCGACTTCAGCCATCACCAGTTGGTGGTCAGAACTGAGATCGTTATGTACGTCCGGCATGGATAATCCGATGTTCGACAGGAAAAAGTCCAGGATGGAGGAACTTCCCGCCGGAGAGATGAAAGTTGGTTCGTCCGGAAACTGCACAGTGCACAGTCCATGTTGTGCTTGATCGAATAAGAGGCATCCGTTCCGGGTACCAGAGTGCAGTTTGTGCTCTTTTTTATAAAAAGGATCGTTTCATTACCCCTTTTCTTTTGACCAATGAGCGCGCGCTGATGTTTGAGCGCTATGAATCGTCATGATAACGATTTTAGTATAGGAATGGAGAGTTATTGACGCTTTTCTTGCTTCTAATTTAAATTTGCAAAACTATTTGTTCATTTCATTTTAGAGATATGGGTTGATGCATATATTATGTCACGCTCTAAGGGGGGAGGGGGAGTCTAAGATTTTGTGACAAGCAATGCATTAGGTATAGGAAAAACGTCAAGATAGGGGGGAGGGGGTAATTTTTTGCTTGATTTAGCGTGACATAATTAATACATGGGCCATGGACCCAAAACGATAAAGTTCTCAGAATTTCGTAAAAATTAGTATTTTTGTTCCTTATCGCAAAATATTAGACCCGTATGTTTTATCTTGTCACCCTTCCATGTTAGGATAATCGAAAAATCGATTTTTACGATTATAACTTTTGAACCACTCGGTCGATTTCAAAGTTCAAAATATTAAATGGAAGGTAATTAAAAATACATTTTAGATATTGTTTTTTTTTTTTAAAGTTTTCATGGTTTGTAGACAGAGGTCATATCATTTTAAGGTATATTTTTTTGAAGTTATCAAGTTTTGGGTTTTTGCTCAATAGACTACTATGCGTCTCCATTGATTTAGAGTGAATGTAACTTGGTCACGACGCATGGTAGTCTAGTCGCAGAAAATTCAATCACGCTAAGTAACATCACCATCGGACAGACGAGACAGGTCAACATATATTAATAATATTGAGTTAATGCTTGTGATGAATCGACGATTGAAGCGAAAAGCGACTGTTACGTGATATCAAGCTATACCTGTATACCTGTATTTAGTTTCGCTAAAGAGCTGTCCACATCTACGGGGACAATTTTTGGTAGGTTTTATATCTCTTAGACCCCCTCCCACTGCGCGGACAATAAACCGTTCCTTTTATTTTTTTGAATTTGTATTAACCGTGGACATGTGCCAACCACCGAATGAATGGCAATCAGCAACGTACTTAGTCCCAGTACACAATGTACGATGTAATGTCGGCCTAAATGCCCCTAATTTGGGCCCATACATAAATTTTACAATCGACTAAATTTTCAATAGCGACCAAAAATATCCATTAGTTCCGTCCCAATGACGCGTTCATCTAGATAAATAGCAGATTTTTAGCGATTGGCTCAATATTAGATCCATAGACCAACATTAGAGCCATTTCCCCTACAACTGATTGTTGAGTGTGCAATAGGAGCTAATCTAAATGATGTGAAAAATGGTATTGAAAGCAATCTGAAAACTATAGTGCTGTTGCTTCCACTTCGGTGCTAAGATTGAAAATAGTGGACATGAGTGATCAGTATTCCTCCGATGTCTTCATTGATTACACATTTAGAAATTATCGCCAATTTCAGTAATTTTTACCGAAATATGAACAGCTGAACTGTTCGGAAAAATTTATGCAATTCAATCCAATTGCTTTTCAGTTACTTTGAAACTAAATCTCCACTAAAATGACAAGATTTGATCATTGAAACAAGATTGAACATGTACATTTAGAAAGTGACATATACGAGCGTCAATTTTGACATAAATTTGAGTCATAACAGACGCGAAATAGTTTGATCAAACGTACTTTTCGTCGAGCAACGAACTTTGCAGTCTCAGAGCACTTAATATTTGATGTCATGTTTGTTAACGTCTCATTTTTTTCGTCAAAGATGGATTCCATCACGTATAAAATTAGTAATTTCTAAGTGTGTAGTGTAACATTCAATACCGAACCGTTATTGATGGCAACTGTTTGAAGCTTATTTGGAAGATGCTTTGAATTAGTAGTAAGTTTTCTGGCTGAACGTCAGGGGTTCGTGAGCATTCCTGACATTGCTGAAAATGATGTTGCTAGTTGGGGTTGCTAGTGTAATAGCACCGACAAACCGAAATGAAACTTAAACTTAACTTTTGCTCGAAAATCTATCCCAACAAACAATTGCCTATTGAAGAAACGACTTCTTGACGAATTTATTCCACTTCATGCTTAATAATACTTGTACTATTTTTAATAATAACTTCTGTTCAGGATTTGTTCACACAAATCTGGAGAATTTATTCAACCACAACATCGAAATATTTGGTGTTGAATAAGGTATGTCTAGAAGCTTTTATTCGACTTACAAAAGTTGTAACAGAGCTTATTCGATCAAATTTTTGATTATTCAGCGTTTATTAGACATCTGTACTTCCTTAAACAGCGATGGTATAAAGGTGTATATAGACGCTTGATTCTCATGTGAAACAATGTTTAATTATTACATCATTATACATTTATTAAACGATTATTCAACTACGGGATAATTAATCCGAAAATAAGAACGGCACGAGCAGGGTTGTTCTCGTTAGTGTTGTTGTGTCACATTTTTTCTGTCGAATTTATTTACATACATACATACACACACATGTCGTTAAATGGGATTCGAACCATGACCTTCCGATCACCAGCCGCTTGCCTTGCCATCTGAGCTATCCTAGAATACATAATATGAGCAGCTAAATAAGCAATAAAAACTTGAATCTGAAAACCTATCAGCACTTCCAGCCGTAACTCTAGCTAATTCAAGGAGATGTAAGAATGATTAATTCATTCATAGTTGTTTAACATTAGACCAACGTTACCTCTCCATCTCTCTAATTTCGATGGAAAGGATGCTATTCTTTTCTATAGATCTATGAATTGGTAGTCGTGAGTGATACGATTTATGATTACGATTTAAATTAATTAGGAGTAGAACATAAATAAAAAAAAAGGGTTGAGGCTGGGATTGAACTCGCGACCTTCTACTTGGAAAGCGGAAACGGTAACCACTATGCTACCAATTTCGTTTTGTTATTAGTCTGAAGCACTGTTGTGGAATAATGAATGAATACGCCGTTTGTACAGCATGCAATTAAAACATGGACGCATAGTTGTATAAGAGCTATTATGCTGACTGTATTCACCTTTATTCAGCAATATTGTTAAGCAATGCAATGGAATTTAGTAATGGAGCTAGAAAACAATTATTAGACGTATAATAAAGCATGTTATTAAATCAATTGAAACAGTCGGATTAAAGCGTCAATGTATGTGCAAATTACACTTATTCAGTATGTTATTAGATCAAACTTCTGGTGTTGAATCAGGAAGACAGTCATCGTTTGTATAGATTTTAATAATTATATTAATCAAATCAGAGCAATCAGCGGAATAAAGACGCATCATTGATCTCAATGAGGTTTTCTGAGCACATAATTTGACAACCCGTTTTATTCAGCATTGTACACTGTTATAAAGCATTTATTCAATCCATATGCTTATTTGTGACTGTGAATTGTTTTTGGGCAGTGTTGTGGAATAATGAATCTAATACGTCGTTTATAAAATATTTACAAAGCATTCAACTAAAACATGGACGCATAGTGGTATAAGAGTTATTTTGCTGACTGTATTCACCTTTATACAGCAATATTGTAAAGTAATGCAATGAACTCTAATAATGGAGCTAGAAAACATTTAAAATACGTCTAATAAAGCATTTTATTAAAGCAATTGAAAACAGTCGAATTAAAGCGACAATGTATGTGAAAATTACACTTATTCAGTTTGTTATTAGATCAAACTTCTGGTTCTGAATCAGAAAGACAGTCAACGTTTATAAAGCTTTTAATAAGTAAATTAATCATATCAGAGCAAACGGCGGAATAAAGGCGCATCTATCGATCTCAATGAGCTTTTTTCAGCACATAATTCGACAACTTGTTTTATTCAGCATTGTACACTGTTATACAGCATTTATTCAAAGTGTATGCTTATTTGTGACTGTGAATTGTTTGTTGGGATAGCAGCCGATTCAAATGTGCAGCGATCCGATCTGTCAAAACCATAGGATTTTGTTATCTAGATAACATAATTTGTCCAGAATAGATCAGACTCAGACCAACTCAAACATTTTGCGCGCGTGTTCGTGGCTTAGCTAAACGTTTTCCGCGAACATGAAGACAGATGTCAGTAGTGTCAGTGTCAGTTTCTACTAGCATAGCTTTAATAAGATTTAAATAAAATGCTCCATTTGCAAAATAAAAGCATTTTAAGATTACACTCGTATGCCTCAACGAGGAAAATTTTGAAACCATCATCACTTTTATAGTTCTTCTATTCTCCACGAGTGCCAACTTTGATTTGCCAATAGTCATTCATGTCGGTTTGTCGGTGGTAATAAGATGCTTTGTTGATTGTTCATTAATTTCATGTAATACTTTTAGGTGGACAAAAAGGCGAATTAAGAGGTGCACGCCTGAGCTTTTCCACATGAATATCGCTGTGAAGCAACTGAAAATTGTTGAGGGAATTTATATCTGTAACTGTAACCAGTTCGTGTTTGTTTGCTAATTTGGTTAAGATGTCATACTTAATTATCTTAGAGAGAAATTGTCCAGTTCAAACCTTTATTTACCCAGGTGCGACCATCAGAACATCGATGGCCTTCTCCAAACTTCAGGCAAGACCTTCAACTTTATCAATTTTCCTAACATCTGGGCGAGACAAATTGAAGTTCTAAGAAGTATGCTAAACTTCTACAATACTCCCTGAGCTTCAACGAAATTCCCCGAAGTTCTACGAAGTTTGCTGAGCTTCTACAAATAAATTTTAAATAAAATCCCTACACTTGAATTATTACATTGGGGGTTGGAATGAATACAAACACAAATCTTATCCGTATTTCACTGGCTCCTTCCGATTTTAGACAGCAATTTATTGTTATTCAACTCTTCACTTAGAAGAAGATAGATTTTTTTTTTAACTTAGCGATAATGACGGGAATCGTTTGGAGACACTTTATTCAATTTCTGATTTCACCACATCATTATATCGGGATCCTTTTTACTTGGTATTTCATGAAAATTTTCTACAACAAATAACCCTAAGGATTGTCCCGTATCGTGGGTAGATCACCTTTTCGTGGTACGTTACGGGATGTAAGATCTACCACCGATTTCTGGTCCTGACTGCTTCAAAATAGGGCAACAGGATTTTTCAGTAATCAAAGGAACACACTTTGTATGCCTTCTTGATAGTGACAAGACTCGTCTTTGTCCACCGAAGATGACCTTGAAACAAGGAAAAATTGAGTTAGTTTGTCTTTATCTATGTGATTCCTAATCTTCTATTCGTTGTTCCCTAGTTTGAAGTGGTTAAGACTAGGGTTCTGATGCATGGTCACTATCAGTATCATTCCTTAATTGTGTTGCTAAGGAATCCAACTTTGACTGACAAAGGGGCGCGCCTTTGGAGGGTGTTCCAACACTCCGAAGGGTATAAATACCGGGACCTTTCAATTAGAATCGATTCCTTGCAATGAATGCAAGAATCACAACTGTATCAAAACCGAATACTTCATCATTTCTCAATAGTGAGGATATACAACAATAGATCAAATTACTGGTCGCAGTGGTGTTAGGTCCCGAACAGAGGAAAAATACCCCAAGGATTTCTTTCCGAATTGAAAAACAAATGACGGTTCTGTTATGCTCATTGATATTTCTTTTTATTGTTTCCCCGTATTTTCGTTTAAATATATGAATAATATCAGTTTTGTTTGTTCATCATTGTTCACAAAAAGGGTTCATTTTTTCAGATTTTTGTTTTATTTTGTTTTCTTCTGCATAGCTTTTCTCTCGAGAACAGCATTCCTCCCAGCAACAAGAATTATAAATAGGGCAACTTATAATTCGCTCTGGTTAGTTTTGAAGTTTTAGTCATGTACAAAAAATTAGAATAGTTTGTTTAAAAAAAATGGCAATCAACGAATGTTACAAATAATCCTTAACGTTAAAAACTATCAACTGGTGTATGTGTGTGTGTGTTTTGTGTTTCAGATGTTTTCAAAACTACTACTATAACTCGACTGTTCCATTGATTTCGGTTTTTTAGCTTGTTTAGCTTTCTTGTACGCTGCTTCGTTCGATAGTTTAAAGATAAATTATTCGAAGTGAAATAAGTTAAGTTACAGTTAGTGAAAAGATTGTGCGAGAAACTTAAAACGAGTCGTCTCTGATAACAATGATAATGACATGATGTTTAAAACAAAGCGGAAAATAGTGACAGTCCTTGATCGCACTCTCGCTATTAGTTATTATTGATGAGTTTTTGAGCCTGACAAAGTGATGAATTGAAACGATGCTCAGATTGACGTTGCTTTTATAGGAAGTCATTGCTCCGTTATATGGTTCCTAGCTATTTTGATCAAATCTGCACCCCAAAGCTTGCGTTTTGCGGTAGAGAAATGAAATATATGTGTTTGTCGTTTTCTATTACTTGATTAGACTATTTTTGAGAGAGAAAATACTGTCTTATGAGGAATGTTAATAATTTACACTTTCCTTGACATATTTTATACATTACGAGAAAAGTTCAGCGCACGTTTCGGGTACGTAAGGTTTGGTAATTTAGATTTGCGTGTTTGCTTTCCTGTAGCGCCCGGTTGTTCTTCTTATATAGTGAGAAGAAGCCAACTTGGTAATGAGTGTAGTTAGGAAACAGATGAAAAAGGTACAGATTATCAGCACTATCGAAACCCGACAATGAGCCAAGAAACAAAAAGCGATGGAAAGTGTTAATGAAAATGATTTCATCATACTTTTCAAGCCATAACAAATAAGGCTACTAACAAAGGTGAAAAATACAGAATCTACTTCTTACTTAACATTGATCGTTCGAGTTGATGTAATGTTTTCCTTCATCATAAATAACTAAACGTAAATGTGCGCTTTCTGGACTAGATTTTAAAGAAATATATTTTTTGAAAATATAAATACATAAGCATAAGATATTTTCAAGATACTCTAGAGTTTTTGCATGTCATTGAAGATATGATTTGTCTGAACAAAATGAACAATGCTCGCTCTTTCGCTCGCTCTCTCTTTCTCTCTGAAACACAGTTCGATTTTATACATATCTAATCTCCTTCTTTCGGTTAGGGGAATGTACCGAGAAGCCGGATGTGGCCTCGTTACGTTCCCCCAACTAGAAACACTTCCGGTCGGTACACATTTGCCTTGAATTTCATGAAGAACTAGGACTGAATTCGTTTGTGTAATTGTGTTACTAGTAACAATTCTGCAATAGAACCAACAATTACTACATTCCCTAACAATGTCTAGACATTTTTCATTCTGCCAACTTTCTCAGCTTCTCTCTAAGTTAGTATTGTTCGTTGTTAAACATTATTTATAAATAAATATTTATTTATCAGTTAATTATGTACACGTCGGCTTTCTCCCTGTCCTTCCTGTTCAGTCGCTGCTGTATAAGTTTGCTTTCAATCTATCTATAAACTGCTATGAATTTTCCTGTCTTTGCATGCAATAAGCAAAAAGTTTCAGTAGAAAAAAGCAAATCTTACCAAACAAATTGCCTACACTCACTGTCCCTTTGTGCGTTAAAAAAAAATCAATATTTGTCCATTAAATAAGAATACAGCTGCAGTTGAAGATCAAATCGATAGAATTACTTCTTCCCCAACATTTCGCGCCACTTCATGAATTTTTCCGTCTCCTCATCCAAAACCAGCGCTTCCACACAGGCCAGAAAGTAGTCCGTCCCGAAGCATTCCTCTCTGAAATGGAGAAAAAGGAAACACAGATTAGAAACTCAATTTGGAACATGTTTTTCTAGTTCAAAATCATCGCCATCAAAAATATGGTTCAATTACAGAGCAAACGGCGAAAAAAACCACAGCTGACATGTGTCAACCTGGACGCAAACTGGCGGCTGAATCGTGATGGATACAAAATTCACGAGCAGTGAATAAAAAATGTTCAAAAACGAACCAAAATTCAAAATTTACAAAAAAAAACTAATCTTATTAAAAAAAATAAAATAAATAAAAACACATACCATGTAGATTTGTAACGGAAAAGAAAACGGAAACTAAAAGAAACCGAATCCTTTCGCCTGTCCGGAATCCTGGTGGGTCGACTATCGATTATGGCTTCCCGTTGATATCTCACTGGCCCTCTTGTGCCTATCAACTAATACTTTTGATTTTCTTTTCCGGTTAAAAGATAGAACGTAACTAAAACAATAGAATTGCACAAAAATCGGCCACTGGACAGCTCTTCAAACGCTAGCCGCGATTGTCGGGTCGAGAATGGGTTCGTGATGATATTTACTAGAAGATGGCTTCGATGTTGGCACACACGTTTCTCTTCCCCAAACGGAGTCTGCTACTTATTTAACAATGGCTATTTTATCGATGATACTTCTGGTTTCCTTTTTCTTCTGCTGTGTTAATTTCTGATACTGTGGTTCAGTTGTTGTTGTCGTTGTTGTTTTTTTTTTTTTGTTAAGCACTTTTGCGCATAGATTTCTGCTAGCTAACCGCCTCCACCGGGTTGGTGTGTGGTTTTCTTAGAGAAATAGATCACTTGTTTGAATTCCTTAAAGCTGCTGCTGGCTGACGACTAGCTAAGCCGATGGGACTTATAACGTATTTGGATCCGCACCGTTTAGCACCTTGATGAATGGCTTTAACGTTTCAATCTCGTCCGTTAGCTGAAGCGCGTCTAAACATCCGCGGAAGTAGTCTGTCGTGAAGCACTGCTTTCTGGAAGAGAACGATTCGCCCGACGGCGAACAGGTTAGAGATACTCTGAATCTGCGAGGGGGGATATACAGCGTGTTGTTAGTGTAAAATACCTTGCTGTTGTTAGAAGGGGTTAGTTGGTTAATTCAGTTGCTGCAAAATTGGATGAAGGACATGCAAACACATATTCAAACATACGAAGGCTTTAGGTTGTTTCATTTTTTTGTGGCACGGTTCTTGTGTTTTAGGGGTGATGCATATGTATATTATGTCACACTCTAAGGAGGGTGGGAGGGTTAAGGATTTTGTGACTAACAATACATTAGGTGTAGAAAAAACGTGACGGAAAGGGGAAAGAGGGTTAATTTTTCCTCTATTTAGCGTGACATAATTGGTGCATCCGCCCCTTAGGGCCAACAACGGATTTTTTTTTTTGAATACAGATTTTTATTTTGAATATCAAGATTTTGAAAGTTTATCAACAATATTATATAAAACGGCAACACTGTTGAGCTATGAAGTTTTTCTACTCGATTTACCCGTTGCTAAAGTTTGTTTTTTCCCAAGTGAAAAATAAATATCCATCAGTTCAGGTCAATATTAGAGATGGGCTATCAGATCCGGATTCGTTAAAAAAAATCCGGATTAGTATGGAGAGTGAATAATCTACAGCTAATGTTTTATAGGAATCGGATTATCGACCTTTCGCTGTGTTATCAGTTCTAACAAACTCTACTTTTAGGCGCATTTTCGGAAGCAGTAGAAGCTAGAATATGAAATTTATGCCTGCAGTTCCTGAAGTAGGGGAGAACAGTACATAACGCACCCCCGGGGTAAGACGCACTTTTTCATTTTATTTTGAGTTTTTCTTGGAAGTTTTAATCCAATTCTAGGATTTATCATGCAGGATTTTGAGTTCAGATGCTATGCTAGAAGTGCTGCTTGATAAGACAACAAAAAAGTTACGCAAAAGCCATGAAAAACACAAATGAAAGTCAGCTGGTGCGTTCTGCCCAGGGGGTGCGTTGTATACCATTCTCCCCTATCTTACGAGGAGAATTGATAGCTAAAATTTCTGAGGATATGTGACGTATGGCTGACAACTACTTCGAGCAGCAGCTGAAGGTGTAGATCCTCTCCATGAACTGTATGGGACTTTGAATGCTAAGTAGCCCCGAACTCGAGTTCCAGTAACTCCGTGTTCTCAAACGTATTGTTATGATTCTAATATTTATTGTGTGTGGCAGGATAATTTCTCAAAAAGGGATTATACAATCTGTTTTCTGTTTATGGCCGTACGACTGCGCCCGTTGAATTAACACACGGCGTCTCTTTATCTAGGATTCGCTCCTCAAGCCGCTGCCATAAAATACTATCAAAGTTACACACCTGTGTATAATCCTTATGGGCGGGGTTGCATCGCGCTTATGAGCGGCGCGTTTCGACCGTAACCAAATGAGAATTTAACATAAGTGCGACAATACATTTTTTAGCATATTAATAGTATAAATAGGTGTCCTCCCTGCCTTGGCCTTTTTTTTTCTACGACTTGGTTTGGGTTCGCCTTTGCTAGCCTGGTTTAGATCTGTTTTGGAGGCCGTACTAATAGCCTAAAAATCTTGACATAAGTGGCATCGTCATTTGCGTTTTTACCGGAGCCGAATGATGATTTTTCTACTTGTTCCTTTTCTGAGATGATTCAAAAATCAGAATAAATGCTTGTGATGATGTTTGCGTGGTGGTATTTGAACTCGTAATCCTTGCTGTATTTTCTGCTGTGATCAAATTTGTTGTTCTTTCATGAAACACTCGTTTGGCATCGTTGAACCAAGAGAAAGGAATGACTCACGCGACTTGCTCATTTTACTTTCAACAGGACAGGTACTTGTATTTCATATGTACCCAAATAGGTCGTTTAATATTCGAGAACCGTCCATGAGAGCTTGAAATTGTAAACAAACGATCCCGAAAGTCACAACTTCAAGGTTGCCAAACTCATGGGATACAGATATTGACAACTTGATTGCCACACTTCGACACGTTCGGTACAACACTTGGTACAGCTTTTGGCACAGGTAAAGTATTCGGCACAGATTGAGATGTGCAGTGTTGAACACCCCTTGGATTATCCATTATCGTCAGTTCAGAGAAAAATAATCATTCTACAGCTAGTTCTACAGATTATTTGACAATCGCAGTTTTAAAAGCATGCTGTGGTTGTCAGTTGCAATACTAATTTTTTACTCAAATGACAGTATTATTTGGCTCGTTTGTTGTATGTCATTGCCAAACGATAACGTTTGATTCCCGACAATTACAAAGCAATTTTCATGAGATAGTAAAAGAAACTTAAGAGATATTTCCAGTTCGCTCTCACCGGATGTCGAAGTGTGTGTTGTTGATCACGAGATAATGCATAGTCGTTGAAGTTTTTGTAGCGATGTACATTGTTGTCATCATTAGAAGCAAAAATTACGAAATGATAGAAGTCAATTTCGTGAAATTATTAGATGCGAATGCGATTCTCATCAAAATGGAAGCAACGTAACGGATTTTTGGGGAGAAAGCGAATTTCATTAAGTTCAAATCGGAAAAAAAAAATCTGTTCGTTGCTGTTGAAAAGACAGCGGAGGTGCGCATGTGGCCTGTGGGAGCATCGTTCAACACGTGTGGGTGTATGATTTACCATTAAAAGGACCGGATTGCGATCTGGCATTGGTACTGGGAAAACACGGATTTGATTACATTATATGTCTTTATTAAAGAGACTTTCTTCCGTAAGCTGGTTCGTCTCTTTAAACACCAGAAAAAATAAACGAAAACACGGGAAAATTAACCATGTCATTTCTAAAAATTCCAGCGCAGCTGGTACCCGACAGCACACCGATGAACGAGGCGTTTGTGTTTGTAAAAGAAAAAAGAAATTCCACACACGATTCATTTCCTACATTAGAAGGGAGACATATTGTATGACGGGAACAAAAACAAGTGTTTCTTAAGTTAGATGGAGGGGCACCAGATGGATTATTGCCTCAGGCGGTAGTTCCAGATACAGCCAAACAAACAAACAAAATGTAGAAAAGCAACAGGATAAATGAATATTTTATTCTCCTTATTTTGATCTTAATTTAGATGTTTATAAGAGCGCTATTAAAGTTACAAATATAATTTCAAGTGAATTCTAAAGAGAATGCCAAGAGAATCTAATGTCTAAGGGTACAATGTCCTCTGAGAAGATTTTTAAGCTAATTCTGAGGATAATTCCAAAGACATTTCAAGAAGAATATAGATCGTTCTGAGTAGAATTTCAAGACTTTTATGAGGTGAATTGCATGAAAATTCTATTGAAAAATCAAGCTCAAAAATGATCAAATATGTTTCAAATATGTTTGAAATTGGGCATATGATTTCAGGCAATTCTTAATTTTTCAGCTAATAAACCTCAGATGTAAAATACGCTATTACTAGCTCAACATGAAATTAAATTAAGTAATATTAACAGTGCAATGCCTCGACGCAGCGTTGCCGGATGAGGGAGAGCTCACCGAAGTCCCTCTTGAGGATTGCTGGAGCAACGTGAAAGCAGCCATTAACAGCGCTGCCGTTGGGTTCGTGGCAGGCTTGCCAAAAGCTCCATCAAGAGTCATCAATAAGCCGAGATCCAGCATATTTTGATGATGATATATTTTGCTCTCACGGAGCTATACTTGATGCTCAAGCTGGGCTCTTGCAAACCCGCATCGCTGAGAGGGATGCGGAGCTCGTTCTCGGGTGTACATCGACTCTGCCTACCGAGCAGAAATTTTAACTTTGTGATGCGCTCGCGCAAAGCAGTAAACTTGGAGCTTCGTGATGTATATAATTTTGTTTATCCACTCATAAAGCACTTAGCGGAAAAAACGATCAAAGATTTTTGGGACTGAGTTTGCAAAACATCAATCCCTCAAAATGTTACGTTCTCTGGGAATGGTCCTATGGTCCATTGAATGTATTGTTGTGTTGTTGTGTATCATAATATTGAATGAAAGAAC